ATTATTATGTTTTGAGACATTGACAGATACTTTCACACTGAAGATTATATAAGGGCTGATCAAAGCATACAGTGTGTGTTGAAAAACAATTTTACATTAAAAGGTACATTGCCATGAATCCCTCTCAAAACACTCCCCATTGCTCCAAAAACTTATCCAATTATTCTTGCCATTTCTGAAGCATTTCTGGAAGTCCTCTTTCATGAGAGTCTTTAGTTGCTCTGTCATAGCTGCCTGGAGGTCCAATTCAAAACATTAATGGGAACAGTTTGTATCACAGATAAAGATTACAGTGTATTCTCATCCGCATTAGTCACCAGATCTGACACTGCCTAACTTGTGGCTCCTCCCCAAATCAAAGTGACATGAAAGGTAAACATTATGAATAGATTCAGGACATGGAGGCAGCCACAACAAACACACTCAGTGAATGATAACTTCCAGAAACACTTCAGAAAGTGGCAAGAATAATTTGAAGTGAGAAGGAATATTTCTTGACTTGAGCTACTTTGGGTGTTCTTCTCTGCTCTCTAACCAAACAAACATAACAGCAGATGTTCTGAGCAATCTTCATGGGCTTGCAGGCCCCCTTCTCTATTTCTGGCAATTAGTTAGCGAATTTTCTCATTTGTAATGATCTTTAAATATCACATCAAATCTTGCCACACTGGCCATAAGCTTATTGCCCAATCAAGAGTACTGATTCAAGTAACAAGGGGAGAGAGATGGAGACAGAGGAGGAGGATAAAGATGAAATGTACTCATCACATCCACAAGGGCCAGTGTAGAATATCTGAAAGTAGAAGAAACAACTGATAGGTCTTTATTTAATGCCACAAGTTTAAGCAGTAGATAAACAGGAGTGGTTCCCAAATATCAATAAATATATTTCTGGGGCACCTGTTAATAATGGAAGTACCAAATACCAGTTCCCCAAATTTAGATGCTATAGAGACTTGGTGGTCATAAATCTAAAGTGTTTGTCAATACATCTGATCATACCAATGCAGGAAACACTCTTCATATACATGGCACATAAGAAAGCTCTGCTCTTATTTGCAGCACTTAGATAACCATATTTTCAAAAATTTCATGACAGCCCCCACTTTCAGTGTCTATTTGTTTCCGAATCCCACATGCCCTCAGAAATTTAGAAAATAAATTAAAGAGTATAAGAGTGGATCAAAGAAAAGAGTGGAATAGTTTTTTTCTTTTTTTTTCAAATTAACTAGGCTCACTGGTTAATTTTCATAGACCAAGTGTTCTGCCTTTAGACCTGCATCAACTAGAACAGAATCAACTAATTGACCTCCTTTTGTCAACACTTGGGATATCAGGGCCAAGATACAACACTGTGAGTCACAACACTCCCTACCACATTGCCACAGGTTGTTTTATATTAGTGCTTTAGCTTCTAACACCAATTAGTGCTTTGACTCTTTTCTTCTTTTAGTACTGGGGATTGAACCTAGGGCCTTCACACTGAGCTACAGTCCCAGACCTCCATTTTAATTTGTGTGTGTGTGTGAGAGAGAGTGTCTCCCTATGCAATGAAACTGCCCAGCCTGGGTTTAAAATTGTGATTCTCCTCCATAAGACTCCCAGAGTGCTGGGATTATAGGTGTATGCCACCACATTTGGCTTGATGTCTTTCTTTCAATGACTTCGCTTCATGCCCTCATTTCTTGAGTCATTTTTTAGAAAAAAAAAAAAAAAAAAGACTTTTTGAAGAGCAGCTGGCCATTCTTGAAGACAAGGTAGCTTAGTAAGGAATTTAAGCTAAATGTAGACTTAAATGTCCACTTTGTTTTAGGGGCAACGAGACAGATCATAATGTGAGAAGTGGAAACTCCTTAAGAACAAGGAAAATCTTTATAATCCTGCTGAAGAAGCTCCCTGAATATCTGGATCTAAGAATGACCCGAAGGTTTACCAAGTTCCAGATTAGAGTCCATCCCTGATCCTTACGCGTGCGTGGGTGCACTCAAATCTCATTTCTGCCCAGCTGTCTTATTCCTGCTTAATTTTCCTCAACTAAGACCTGTGCAGAAGGAAGAGTTAAGTCTGTCTTCAGAAGATTCTGTCTGACTGAGGTGGGTGTTGTTCATTGCTGCCTGCCTGCTTGATGAAAAGTAGTACATTGAGCTTCTAGATAGAGTTATATAAAGGGAGATCAAATAAAGAAAGAAAAAACTCCCACTCATAGAGGTAGAAAATATATAGCCTTTTGCAAAATGTACAAAGGAGAATTCATAGACTCAGGAGTGGTTTGGTGTTCCCAAAATACACAGCATTTCATGTAAGAACTTAAGAAGATGGAGGACTCCATTAAAGCCAAGCCATAAAAACAGAAGACTAAGTGAATTTGTCTTGTAATTTGTTTTATTATCTCAGAATTTATAGAAAGCAGTTCTCCCTAATGCACAAATCTTTTTTAGTTTTGTTCTCTTCCTTTTTTCCCCCTCTCTGCTTAAAACTTTCAATGATAGGTGGTCTTGGAAAGTGCTGAATTAAGACTTGGCAAAGTAAAGTTCTATATATTTGGCTTGTCCTGCAGTTTTAAGTCTCACAAACTACTGCCTTACCTTTGTCTGAGAGAGTAAAAATCAAAGAGGAAGCAAAGCGCAATCATGAAAACGCTGACAAGGACAGATGTGCGCGTGCGCACGTGCGCGCGCGCGCGCGCGCACACACACACACGCACACACACACACACACACACTGTACACAAAGACATGGCCACATGCACCCATTACCCTTTTGTGATTTAGTTAAGGAAAGCATTGCTTCTATTCTTGAACAAATTCCACCTTCTCTCATAACATTCATCTATCTTAACGGGACCCAAAACCAAGGTAGGATTTATTTTATCGTAATGATGAGAATTATCTATTGAGCTTCAATAACAAGTACCACCGAATACCGTTGGGAAATAAGAGTTTCACAAATATTTATAATTTAAACTGTGCTTTTCAAATTATGATTCTTTATTCCATAAGCATTTATTGAACATCGACCGTGTGCCAAGCATTGTTCTAAGCTTTGAAGATACAATGAAGGCAACAATGTCTTCTCTCAAAAACATTATATTCTGGAAAATTTTGTCAACTAAGACCACAATAATTCTGTTGTACATTTTTTGAGAGAATATGACACTAACAGGTGTTTTAATATACACGCTGTGATAGTTCTACTAGATAATGCTACTTCAACGATAAAAATCTAATCAACACAAAAGAATACTGAAGTTACATGAACCACAGTGAATGCCTTTATCTATACCAGGAAACATCTAAGTTCACCAATAAACGTAGTAAGTAGATAAATAGTGTAAGATGCTCTATCATTGAATAGCAAACATGAACTTTCCAAGAAATTAATCAGAAAAAAAGCCAAGTAATAACAATACTTTATGGTATCTTTGGAAATTACAGAATGTGGTTTTGCATGTACTGCCAAGTAGCTGTAATTAATTTTGTTTGGCTTGACTTTATGTTAAAACTGGGACACTATATTAGAAAAGAAGTTTTGTTTCTCACTAAAATTCTACACTGGTTAGTCTCCACCTGAGTGCAAATATTTTTTTAACCAAAGTAGTTGATATTATATGTTTCACTTCCTTTAATAAGCCTTCACGTTTTCCACAGAATTTACTTTTAAATATTCTTCAAATATTTATCACATTAGATTTATACCTTAAACACATCAAGATAAGTGGAAATATCCATACCATCCCTAATTTATTTTTAACCAAAACATGGGAAGAATCAACTTGCATCTTATAGCTGGCTCAGCATATGAGATTTATTTCTGGAATTCTGACTAATTCTAAGTAAGCTATTGGGTATAGATATGTGTGTATACATTTTGAATGTAAGTATTTTTATACATAAACACGTGCATATATCCACTGCAATTAAAATAACATAATAGTCTCATAGCACTGGGCTTTATTTGAATTATAAGGAAGGAAAATAAGAAAAGCCAATCATTTCCAGCATAGGTAAATTTGAGTTTTTTTCTGCTCCCTAATAGTTTTCACTTGCTACACTTTTAATTGTAAGGCTGACATCATTTCTTTGGTTATAATTACTGTATTAGTAGTAAGTCTTTAGTTTGTAAAAACACAAGGACCTATAACAGGAATACATTTTAATGTGATACAGAGGAAAGGAGAATGCAAAGCAGTGAGTGGGATAAGGAAGAAAGAGAAACATCAGTGAATGCTCAAAGGAAAGGACCCTGTGTCACAGCAAATCCCATGTTTGTTTAGAAATTACATGCTTAGAATTACAGTTAGAAAGATTAAGCATCATCTATTCCGGAGAAAAAAAGTGTGCCTGAATGTGTGTGTGGTGTTTGTATGTGTGTTCTTTTCTATTTTTTTGAGAAGTTTCAAATTAAAGAACATAAACTTTTGCCCAATGCAGGAATATTCTTGGGCACTGTAAACTTTTGGATTTTCCTATACATTTTAGGGTTGTAAGCAACAGAAAATATACTATTTTAAGATAAACACCCATTATATATTACAATATGTCTTAAAATGAGAACGTACAAATTCACAAGTATTAGATAACTAACTTTTAAACACTCTAATGTCCTGTAAGGCTATAGATCACCATTTACAATTTCCCTTGTGAAAGCCCTTATCAGCCTGTGCAGTGTTTGCTATCAAAGCATCATGCCCAGGCAAAACATCTGGTCACTTATTAGTCAGAATCCTTTCAGGAGAAAGAAACTACTAGTTATTTTAACAAAGGAATTAAATACAAACCATGGTCACCTGGGTATCACAGAAATGAAAGACAAAGGTGGGGACCCTGTCCATTCAGCTAAGTAATAACTGGAGGACAAAGCTATCACCCTTAAGGTCTAGGGAACCCATGAAATCAGAAGGTATTATTAAAATTTAACTAGTAGGGAGGAGTGCTGCAGGCCTGGGACTCTAGGGAGAGGTTCCTGCTTAGCTGGGACTCTAGGGAGAGGTTCCTGCTTAGCTGGTGCAAGAGCAGCCCAGAGAAGAACCTTATGGAGCTAGGTCCTAGATTAGCTGGTTTTCAAAAATTAGAGGAGGCTGTAAGACCTCATGTCTAGAATGTGGAAAAGCTGGTAACCTGGACCATTTGTGGCTCTTGGAATCTAGTGTTGGTGTCTTAGAAAGAACTATTTCAAGTGTGAACGTGATAATCCAAGACAGTTTATCCACTTTCTCCTGCTGCCTTCCAATCTCCCTTTAAGGCCCGTAATTGCCCCAGCCTAGAAGAAAACATCTAGTTAAGGAGAGGGCTCATGTTCCACAAAAACACAAAGCCAGATATTTGCGGGTACATAGGTTGGAATCATAAAGAGACAATAACTTCACAACTAGTGCAGAAGGGAAACAAAATATATTAATTTGTCATAGCAGATCACTACTATTTACAGAGTTATACTTGTAGTTCTGTAGTGGAGGAAACAAAATTAGTAATTTGTAGCATTTAATAACATTTAATATATCCTGAGTTCTGTGCTAAGAGCTATGCATTTGGTATTCCGTTTAATCATTAAGATGTAACCGGTGAGATGGGAATCACCATGAACCATGAAGAGAGTTATCCAAACTAATTATAACCATGGATTTCAACACAAAAATTTCATTCAGCTGTGATTTCATCTGGTCTTTTTCTCTAAAACTGCACCTTTCTCCAACCTGTTTTTCTAGATTGCCTATAAGAAGAAAAACCAGATGGATTTGTTTACTGGAACTATAAGTTGCAGCTTATGCAAGCAATAAAGTCCTTTCTCTTTGCCTCTAGTTGAGAAAAGGTGGTTTGTTTTGCTTTGTTTTGTTCATGTGCTAGTGGGTACTGAATTGAACCCAGGGCCTTCACATTGAGCTACGTCCTCAGCCCTTTCTAATTTATTAAAATTTGATCCAGAGTCTTGCTTAGTCACTAAGATAGCCAGGCTGGGCTTGGGCTTAACAACTGCCCTGCCTTAGCTTTCCAGAATTCCAGGATTATGGGTATATGCTCTCACTCTCAGTTAAAGAGGTGACAAAAATTTGAGGAAAATTGGAACATCTGAATTGGTTGACCTTAGGAACATTTTGACTAAAAAAATAGTATTTTCAGTTCAAACCATGACAGTATTGTTAATAAATCATCACAGCTGTAAATGATGAAAAGAAAAAATCTTTGAATTTATAGAGAAATCAATGAGGTGAAACTAGAAAGTCAAAATAAAGTAATAAACAAATAGTTAGCCAGTTAGAAATAGATGTTCACATACAACTGTTCTATTACTATAATAATTTAACTTATAAACATAGGGAATAGTTGTAACTATGATTTACTCTTTCATCTCTTTGTCAAATATTCTGCCTGATCAATAAATACACAGACAACTACACACCTATGCAACTTCCCTGGATGACGTAAAGATAGAGGTGTTTTATCATAACTGTGAATATAAGGAAACCAAGATTTAGCTATAAAATGGCAAAATGGAATTTAATACTAGATTTATCCAATGCTAATGATCTATTTGTGCTGTCACCCATATAACCACATTTCATGGATGTTGTGTCAGGTGTGAAGGAGAAGGACCACTTTGATTTCTTTTATTGATACCTTTTCCCTTTAGCTTAAGTTTACGCATATGCATATTGGAAGTAGACCATTAGAAAACTAAAGCAGAAGAAAATCCAGCTGTCCAGTATAATACCTTTTCCTCCATTTCCACCCCAATTCCCACTTTAATCACAACCAAGATATTTTTAATCACTTGTCAAGGGCAAATGTCCCCAGATTTTAGTAACTGGAAATGTCTCCCAAAAATTTATGTTGAAATTTAATCTCTCATAAGATAATATTAAGTGATGGAGCCTTTAGATGGTGGTTAAGTCTTGAAGTTCTGCCTTTATGGGTTTAACATCTTCATAAGAAAGGTATGAGGGGTCCAGGGATATACCTCAGTGGCATAGCACCTGCCTGGGAAGCGTGAGGTTGTGAGTTTGATTCTTGGAAGGAAGGAAGGAAGGAAGGAAGGAAGGAAGGAAGGAAGGAAGGAAGCAAGCAAGCAAGCAAGAAAGAAAGAAAGAAAGAAAGAG